TGAAAACTTTTTAATCAATCAAAAATCAAAATTATTGGCAATTGATAATAATTATCAATTATCGTTAATAATTAATCGCTGGCAACAACTTATATCAAAAAGAAATAATAATAGATGAATCAATTAAAAATGTGACAGATGAAAAATTTAATCAATTAAATTTGATTAAAGAAAAAGAAAAATATGAGAAATTTTTGTAATAATTAAGAATTGTTGAGAAAAACAATCAATGTAATAGTATAGAACATTTCAAATAATTTATCAATTAAACCGTTAAGGTTGTTAAAGTTTTGAATAATTCCTTAACATAAAATTAAAAAATTTTTAAAAATACTAATCTAGAATTGTTCAACAATTTAATAAATTTGCAAGAAGAATTAATAAAAAGGATTTAAGCCGAAAAAAATGAAGACGAAAAGAATTATTAATCAATTAAATTGAAGAATTAATAATATTAAAATGATAAAAAGGATCAAGAGAATATCCAAAAAAAAACTGTTAATAATTGTTTTGACAAAAAATGTCAAACACATTGATAAATCATCATTAATGTTGTTAAAATATAAAAGAAAAAAATGGCAGAATAGAAGCAGCAATTAGCCTAATTACTTGAAGAAGTTATATAGTTTAGAAATAATTATATTCTAATTCAAGATTATAAAAAAAAGAGATGGAAACGAAAATAAAATAAATTTTTCGTAATTTTTTCTAAGATCAAATTAATAAATTTGAATAATCGCTTTAGTCAAAAGCTAACTTATAATAGATGTAAAATGAATCATTTCAAGAATATGTTGATAGCAATATAACAGAATAAACAAATCTTTGTGATTTTCTCAATATTTTAATAATTGAGCTACAAGTAAAATTAAGAAAGTATTAGCGTATACCCTCAGAAAATGAAATTGATTAAGAATATCTGATTAAAAAAATTAAAAAAATATACCTATAAGGAAAAGAGGAAGGAGGAGATGATGAAGATTATTTAGAATCAAATTAAAAATTAGGTTTATTCGATGGGCTGAAGCAAAAGTATAAGGATTTTAACAATGATGACGAGTGGAAAATTAAATAGGGTCTAATTTTTACAATTGTTTATATTTCATCTAATTCCTTTACAGATACAATTACTCGATTTTGTTAAAAAACCCTAATTTAATTATGGGTTTTAGAAAAAAGATTAAGGAGTTAGAAATTTATTGAAAAATTAACACTTAATAAGTATATCAGAAAGTGTTTGTTAAGAGTTGAGGGAAAAATAAATCAAATAAAAGAGCAGCTCAATAAGATGGGGAATGATATTAAATTTTTGAGAGGAAAATCAGTTTTATAATTGCTTGAAATTAGAAAATGGAAAGTGTTGAAGGAAGCAGCAGAAAAAATGTCAAGTCCATCTATATACCATTATAAACTTAAGAGAGAGGTAAAAATGAGATCAGCAATATGATGAATTTAGATTAATTTGATGATAAAGATGGAGAAGTGAATGAGTTTTTATATGAAGAGAAAACAGTATTGCTTATTCATAGAGTAGCTGGATCCGGCAAAAGTACTACAGCCAAAAAAATTGAAGAGTTTATTTGGAAATTACATGATAGTAATAAAAAAATTGGGAATTATGTACTAATACCTGTTTATATTTCATTACTCTCTTTAAAAAACCCTGTTTTTAAGCAGTAGAGGAATCACTTATATAAAATGATTATGGGTTTGATGATCTCTAATTAAAAGATTGTAAAGAAATGTTGTAAAAGAAACAATTTCGATTCATATTTATAATGGATAGTTATGATGAAATGAAGCTCGAGAATATTTAGAAAAATTTATACATTAATAATAAGCTCAAATAAAATTGGTAAGACCCTCTTGTTATTTTTACCACCAGAAGTGACATTTTTACTAGCAACAATTATGCAGACT